GACAGTTATTTCTTTTCAACCTGAATGGCTTTTTTTTTTCTTGCCTTATTGTCCTGGCTATAACCGCCAGTACAAATGTTAAATAGAAGTGATGAGAGTGGACATCTTTGTCTTGTTTCTGATCTGAAGGGAAAGTATCTAATCTTTCACTAGTAAATATAATGGAAGTTGTAGATTTATACTGCTATCCTAAACCTTGATTTTTTTTTTGGCATAAGATTTTATATCAGTACCTATGTAACATACTTCATTCTTTGTAAATGTTTCATAATATTTTATTGTATGGATATGTCAGGTTTTTTGAGTCAGCCTTCTGATATTTAGATGGCCTTTCTCTTACCAGTTATGCTGTGGTGTATAATTTTGCTACATGTTATTTTGTATACACACACACACACACACACACACACACCCTCTCTTTAGGTTAGATCTGAGAAGAATCACTGTAATTTTGGTAGATATGATCAATTTGCTTACCAGTGTATGTTCCCACTAGAAAAAATATGTCAGAGTGCCTGTCTTCTCCCACATCTCACTAACATGATGTGTTATCAGAATTTTTATCCTTGCCAATCTGATAAAGAGAAAAGGTATTTCATAAAGTTTGAGTTTGCACTTCTCTTATGAGTGAAGTTGTGTGGCTTTTCATGTTTAAGACATACTTGTTACACAGTAGGGTGACTATTGCAAATGACAATGTAATAAGTATTTCAAGATAGCTAGAAGAGAAGGTTTTGAATGTTGTCACCCCAAAGAAATAAATATTTCAAATAATGGATATGGTAACTACCCCACTTGATTATTATACTATGTATATACATGTATTGAAATATCACATTGTACACCATAAATATATACAATATTATGTGTTAATTAGAAATATAAAATTAAAATTTTAAAGACAGGTTCTTGAATTTTTCTGTTAATTTTGTGTTCAAACTTTTTACCCAGTTCTCTTGAGTTGTTGATCTTTTTCTTATTGATTTGTAGAAGTCCTTTATAAGTAGGGAAATTAGGTTTCTGTCTTGAGTATGAATTGTGTTTTGACCCTAGTTTTTTATTTGTATTTTGACTTTGTCGATTTTTGATGAGAAATTTAAAATGTTCATGAAGTTAATTTTATTGGGCCTTTTTTGAAATAATGTGTATAGCTTTCAGATTTTGTATTAGAGTTAGAAATATCTTTCCCTCTCAAAGGTTATAAAAAGATTATTTGGTATTTCCTCTGAATACTATTAAAGCCAAGGTTTTTAAATGTTCTTTTTTCTTTTAAAAATTTAACATATTCCCTTTTCTAGTTTTTTGTCATCTGTGTGGTCCTCCCTACAGCTATCTCTAAGAGTAGCTCAGCGGTGTTATTTAGAAGTTTCCTGACTATTGTGACATGTAACTCATCTAATTCTGGAACTTATATTTTGGTTAACTAGGAAATTTCTGATACGTTCCTTACTCAGTAGAGAATTTCATTCTGATTTACTTATATTGACTCATCTTTTTTTTTTCTGAGCAAAGCTCATTCTTTTTGATATAATGTATGCCGAAGCAAAATAGAAAATAAGTTCTCCATTCTCTGTCTCATTTCTACTTTCTTTTCAAAAATTCTTTATTTTTGAGTATCTGAGAACATGTGTTCATCTTTCATGTTTTAGGTCTCTAAAAGAAGAGGGTGACTCTTGATCACAGCCAGACTTATTTCCAATTTATTTAGCTTTTTCAAGAAATATTTAGTAAGTAACTACTACCTACTTAGCCCTTTTCTAAAAAGATAGTAACAAAACTTATGATAATGCCCTTGTGTTTTAGAAAGACCAGGTTTCTCCACATAATATGATTATTATTAGAGAATAATTTTTGTCACTTTAGATATAGCCCATAACTTCTCTTTGCAAACATGGTTGGATTGTGTTTGAGTGAAATACCTAGATGTTCTGAAAGAACATTTTCTTCTCTGAAGTTCATTTTTCAAAGGTGCAGTGGCTAATAAAATTCTCAGAACTGGATCTATAGGAAGGCTAGGCCATATTTGTACCAGCTGCAAATATTCAATACCAGTCATAGAATGTTCTTCCAACCACTTGTGACAAGTAAAATATATTTTTACTGAGTTATGCTAGTGTTCCAGTAATGCTCTTAAAAAAAAAAAAAGGAAACGATTTATTTATTTAAATAGCATATGGCTCACTTGCTCCTCTGGTTTCTCTCTCTCTCTCTCGCTCTCGCTCTCGCTCTCGCTCTCTGTGTGTGTGTGTGTGTGTGTGTGTGTGTGTTTTCTTTGTCTTTTTTAGTTTGATAAATTCAAGTTGGTACTTGCCTCTTGAAAGCTAATTAAAAAAAAATTCTGCCCTTAAAGTGAATTAGAGGTTTCAAGTTTTTGACAGTATCTCATAGCTTAAAAAACTGTATATTAATAAATGTGGATTGGCATTTGCTTTCTTAGAAAAAGTAAAATTGATCTTTGTTGAACCCAAGTATGTTGTTTTTCCATGTTAATGTATTTATAGCTGCAGTTTATAAAAAAAAAAAAAAAACCCTTTCTTCCTCCAATTTCTGTATCTCTTAGTGAGATTCTCTTCTTCCGTAGAACCAGACTGTGAGGCTAATATGACAAAATCTTCAGATATTTCGGGGATCTTTTTCTAACATGATTCTGCCCTCTCACATGACTCCCCCAAACTCCCTCTCTCTTTGTTGCCATTAGTCTTCCACATTCCTACTTTTCCTCACCCAATTTGGGAGCGTTAGGTTAATACACATGCTAAGGAATGGAGATATATTAGAGTTTTCAAGGTGATCGTTTCTGTTCCTTTACTTGTCCCAAAGTCCTGAATTAAACCAAGTACTGCTGATGTCTAAAGTACTGATGCTGATCATATAACATTTTCCTGAAGAAATAAATGGTCTTCTTACCTCTTGGAGGAAAGGAGTGAAAGTCTTAAGGGACAGATAGTATTCTGAACCACAGAAGTATAAAACAACTATGAGGATAGATATGGTGTAACGGAATTAACGTATCTAGACTGGAAGAGACAAACTAATAAATAACAACTAAATTAACTAGAATGTATGTCATACATTTAAGTGAATGAGGATAATGCATCATTTATTGGATTCAATAATTAACTGCAAGTTAATGTTAGAGTGACTCTCTATATAAAGATGAAGTAAAATAAGCTTCAGTACATAGGAGTTCAACTCTTGTTATTAGTACCTGACTCTGCTGTTCATTCACCAGTAATGTGAACTCAAGCAAATCACTTCACCTTTTTTTGCATCGCTTTTTCCATCTATAGCGTGAGTATAATACACTGATCTTTCCTGAATACACACACATGCACACATACTACTTGAATATAGTATCCAACACACAAAAAAAGCCGCTCAATATATGTTAAGCTTCTTTACCTCCTTTTTTTTTTTTTCCTTTGAAGCTTTCTTCTTATACTAACATAAGAGTATTGGAATATCACAAGGTTAAAGGTGCTAAATCAGGTAGTGGTTGTTTACGCCAGCAAATATTTCTGTCGGAACAATTGGCAGTTCTAGCTTATTTCATAAGAGTTAACTAATTTTGTAGATTATTTTCTGTATGTTTTTTTCTAGTTGTGATAATCTTTTTATGATAAATATTGAGTATCTTCGTTTTCCCATCCTTAGCTGGCTTATATGTTGAGAAAATTACAAATTTACCCATTTTCAGTTCTTGTGACATTTTCTAGTCTATTTTTTTAAATCTAAATCTCATAAAACTTTTTCTTTTATTTAAATTACATTCGGTCTTTTGATGTTTTTCTTTTTGTTTAGTAAGAGTTTTTTCTTCTCAGTATTTCATATGACTTTTAGAATTTCTTGTTTTAAGGTCTTTCTTTAAAATCTTGCTTAAATATAGCTCTCCTTTCCACTTAAATTATTTTACTCTTACATATTACCTAGAAAAATAGATTTAAACAAGAAAAATTGTCTTTTAAAAATTAGAATGTTTTATTTGGACTCTGAAGGGTCCACTCCAAATGGTAGAAATAACATCTAAAGTATTATAGTTTAGGTATCTGAAAAGGTTTAGTTGATACGGTTACCACTTGAAATGTGGATTTTTCTTTAGCAATTCTTGAAATGAATCTTACAAGATTTGCCATTTTACATGGTGTTATTTATTAATTAAATCTTAATAATTATACTTTTCCTGTCTTCAAAATTATGTAGCAACCTTGTTTTCTTCAAGGAATGGTTAAAAGATGTATCCTGCGTAGTGTCCATTCTGAGTTTAAACTTAAAACTCTGCTTTACTCCTAACATGAAATGATGATTAGAATTACCTACTTTCTGCGACAGTGTGGTTCAGGTCCATTTTCTGTGGAAAAGATTGTGAGATTAAGAAAAGAACAACTTTAGTTATAAATGACAGGAGAGGATCATTTCCGTAATTAAATTATATTGTATTTCAAAAATCCAGTTTAAGGGCCACCTGCTCTAAATTGACATTTCGTTTCTGCTGATTTTCAAAATTGAAAGATAGAAGCTTCAGGACTCTGGAGTTTCCAAAATTATTTTTATCGTTTAAAAAATATTAACAAATATAATGATTACATTCCTATTTCTTGTTTTTATTATTCTTAATCATTTATTTTAATGACATGTAAATAGCATCTAGAGTTTGAGCCTTGACTCTAGGAAGTCATTAGGAAATTCTCTTGGTGGTAAGGGACTGTAATAGGTCTTGTAAATAGTCAGCTGGCCTGTGCAGTTTTTTTTTATGGTTTAGCTATAAAAGTGAGTTTTTCATGACTCAAGATAGAACTAGAGGCCCAGGTTTATTATATTGCATTATATACTTACTGTTAAATCTCTATATTGCCTGTGATTGAAATACTAAATTTGGTTTACATGTATTAAACCTCCAAGTAATATATTTTAAAACTTTATGAAAAAGAAATCAAGAAATAAACCATTGTCTGGTGCAAAATAAGTAAGTATTATTACTTTATGCACTGTTATCTTTTCAGGCTCATGAGAGACTAGAAGATTCCAAACTAGAAGCTGTCAGTGACAATAATTTGGAATTAGTCAATGAAATTCTTGAAGACATCACTCCTCTAATAAATGTGGATGAAAATGTGGCAGAACTGGTTGGTATCCTCAAAGAGCCTCACTTCCAGGTAACTCCCTGTCACTCCACTCCCAAGTTCCCTATATGCCCAAAGTATTTCCCGTTAACATTTAAGTTCCAGTTTAAGGTGATGTTTTCTTCAAATATCATGTAGGGCTATAATTGGTAAGTATGTAAATTCCAACCTTGGTATCTTAATGTCCTGATATGCTGAGAATACATCAACAGGTATATGTAACTATAATTACTACAAAAATGTACACTGTCACAGAAATACATCACAGTGGATTTTCCTTTGTGCCATTAAAGAAAACAACCTTAATTCACCATCAGATCATATGCTGCAGCCATTTTCCTCACTATGATAATGGATTTTTTTCTTCCTCACTACGATTCTGTTTCTCAGTCAATACTTTTGAGTATTACTTCTCAAGATTGTTGTGCAGTCAGTGACCACGGAACATAAGAGAGCTGTGAATGTATAGAAACTGTTATATAACATAATCTCCACAGGTACTGAGTATCATTTTAGCAATGGTATGTACCAGTGAAGAGTTCTTCTGTTTTAGGAAGAAGAATGCATTTCAGAAGAGAAAAGGCAGGAAAGATTTCTTGTAAATTTGTTATAATTAAGACAATGTGATATTGGGGAACGTGTTAGAAAAATTAACTCATTTAAAAGAATAGAAATCCCCCATAAGTACATCCAGCCAGATATGGCAACTTGATTTATGACTGGGACACTGCATTTTAGTGGAAAAAGAATGGTGCTGGGATAGAAGAAATAAATGTCACCTGCTTTCCCCTGCAAATCTTAGCACTGAAAATCAAATGGTAACAGCCTTTTGGTCTTTCTCAGCCAATGACTTTATGTGACTGTTCAACAATGTTACTGCAAAATATGAAGGTTTTTTTTTTTTTTAATTGCATTTTGGGTTTTGGGGTACATGTGAAGAACATGCAAGATTGTTGCATAGGTGCACACATGGCAGTGTAATTTGCTGCCTTCCTCCCCGTCACCTATATCTGGCATTTTTCCCCATGCCTTCTCTCCACAACTCCCCACCCCACACTGTCCTTCCCTTATTTCCCCCTGACAGACCCCAGTGTGTGATGCTCCCCTCCCTGTGTCTATGTGTTCTCATTGTTCATCACCCACCTACAAGTGAGAACATGTGGTGTGTGGTTTTCTGTTCTTGTGTCGGTTTGCTGAGAATGTTGGTTTCCAGCTTCCTCCATGTCCCTACAAAGGACACGAACTCATCGTTTTTGATGGCTGCATAATATTCCATGGTGTATATGTGCCACATTTTCCCTGTCCAGTCTATCATTGATGGACATTTGGGTTTGTTCCACGTCTTAGCTATTGTAAACAGTGCTGCAGTGAACATTCGTGTGCATGTGTCCTTATTAGTAGAATGATTTATAATCCTTTGGATATATACCCAGTAATGGGATTGCTGGGTCAAATGGAATTTCTATTTCTAGGTCCTTGAGGAATCGCCACACTGTCTTCCACAATGGTTGAACTAATTTACATTCCCCCCTACAGTGTAAAAGTGTTCCTATTTCTCCACATCCTCCTCAGCATCTGTTGTCTCCAGATTTTTTAATGATCACCATTCTAACTGGCATGAGATGGTGTCTCAGTGTGGTTTTGATTTGCATTTCTCTAATGACCAGGGATGATGAGCATTTTTCCATAATGTTTGTTGGCCGCATGTATGTCTTCTTCTGTAAAGTATCTGTTCATATCCTTCACCCACTTTTGAATGGGCTTGTTTGTTTTTTTCTTGTAAATCTGTTTTAGTTCTTTATAGATTCTGGATATCAGCCCTTTGTCAGATGGGTAGATTGCGAAATTTTTTTCCCATTCTAGTGGTTGCCGATTCATTCTAATGACTGTTTCTTTTGCCATGCAGAAGCTGTGGAGTTTGATTAGGTCCCATTTGTCTATTTTGGCTTTTGTTGCCAATGCTTTTGGTGTTTTAGTCATGAACTCCTTGCCTACACCTATGTCCTGAATGGTTTTGCCTAGATTTTCTTCTAGGGTTTTTATGGTGTTAGGTCTTACGTTTAAGTCTTTAATCCATCTGGAGTTAATTTTAGTGTAAGGTGTCAGGAAGGGGACTAGTTTCTGCTTTCTGCACATGGCTAGCCAATTTTCCCAACATCATTTATTGAACAGGGAATCCTTTCCCCATTGCTTGTTTTTGTCACGTTTGTCAAAGATCAGATGATTGTAGATGTGTCACATTGCCTCCAAGGCCTCTGTTCTGTTCCTTTGGTCTATATCTCTGTTTTGGTACCAATGCCATGCTGTGTTGATTACTGTAGCCTGGTAATATAGTTTGAAGTCCGGTAGTGTGATGACTCCAGCTTTGTTCTTTTTGCTTAGGGTTGCCTTGGCTATGCAGGCTCTCTTTTGGATCCATATGAAATTTAAGTTTTTTTTTTTTTTTTCAGTTTTGTGAAGAAGGTCATTGGTAGCTTGATGGGGATAGCATTGAATCTGTAAATTATTTTGGGCAGTAAGGCCATTTTCACAGTATTGATTCTTTCTAACCATGAGCATGGAATGCTTCTCCATCTGTTTCTGTCCTCTCTTACTACCTTGAGCAGTGGTTTGTAGTTCTCCTTGAAGAGGTCCTTAACATCCTTTTTTGTTTTCCTAGGTATTTTATTCTCTTTATAGCAATTGTAAATGGCAGTTCGTTCTTGATTTGGCAGTCTTTAAGTCTGTTATTGGTGTATAGGAATACTTGTGATTTTTGCACATTAATTTTGTGTCCTGAGATTTTGCTGAAGTTGCTTGTCAATTTCAGGGGATTTTGGGCTGAGACGATGAGGTCTTCTAGATATACAGTCATGTCATTTGCAAATAGAGACAGTTTGACTTTCTCCTTTCCTATTTGAATACCCTTTATTTCTTTTTCTTGCCTGATTGCTTTGGCTAGAACTTCCAGTACTATATTGAATAGGATTGGTGAGAGAGGGCATCCTTGTCTAGTGCCAGATTTCAAAGGGAATGCTTCCAGTTTTTGCCCATTCAGTATGATATTGGCTATTTGTTTGTTGTAAATAGCTTTTATTATTTTGAGATACATTCCATCAATACCTAGTTTATTGAGGGTTTTTAGCATAAAGGGCTGTTGAATTTTGAAAGGCCTTCTCTGCATCAATTGAGATAATCGTGTGGTTTTTGTCTTTGGTTCTGTTTATATGGTGAATTGCATTTATAGACTTGCATCTGTTGAACCAGCTTTGCATCCCAGGGATGAAGCCTGCTTGGTCATGGTGGGTAAGCTTTTTGATGTGCATTTGCAGTCGGTTTGCCAGTGTTTTATTGAAGATTTCTGCATCTATGTTCATCATGAATATTGACCTGAAGTTTTCTTTTCTTGTTGAGTCTCTGCCAGGTTTTGGTTTCAGGATGATGTTGATCTCATAAAATGATTTGGGAAGGATTTCGTCTTTTTGGATTGTTTGGAATAGTTTCAGAAGGAGTAGTACCAGCTTCTCTTTGTATGTTTGGTAGAATTTGGCTGTGAACCCATCTGGACCTGGGCTTTTTTTGGGTGGTAGGCTCTTAATTGCTGCCTCAACTTCAGACCTTGTTATTGGTCTATTCAGGGTTTCAACTTCTTCCTGGTTTAGGCTTGAGAGGATGCAAGTGTCCAGGAATTTATACGTTTCTTCCAGGTTTGCTAGTTTATGTGCATAGAGTTGTTTGTAATAATCTCTGATGATTTGTATTTCTGTGGTATCTGTGGTGATATCCCTTTTATCGTTTTTTATTGCATCTATTTGATTATTCTCTCTTTTCTTTTTTGTTAATCTGTCTAGTGGTCTCTTTTGTTGATCTTTTCGAAATACCAGCTCCTGGATTTCTTGATATTTTGAAGGGTTTTTTGTGTCTCTGTCTTCTTCAGTTCTGCTCTGATCTTAGTTATTTCTTATCTTCTGCTAGGTTTTGAGATTTTTTTGATCTTGCTCCTCTAGCTTTTTCAATTTTGAAGATAGGATGTTGATTTTAGGTCTTTCCTTGCTTCTTATGTGGGTATTTATTGCTATATATTTTCCTCTAGACACTGCTTTAAATGTGTCCCGGAGATTCTGGCATGTTGTGTGTTGGTTCTCGTTGGTTTCAAAGAACATCTTTATTTCTACCTTCATTTCATTGTTTATCCAGTCAACATTCAAGAGCCAGTTGTTCAGTTTCCATGAAGCTGTGCAGTTGTGAGTGAGTTTCTGAATTCTAAATTCTAACTTGATTGCACTGTGATCTGAGAGACTGTTTGTTATGATTTCCATTCTTTTGCATTTGCTGAGGAGTGATTTACTTTGAATTATGTGGTCAGTTTTAGAGTAGGTGTGATGTGGTGCTGAGAAGGATGTATATTCTGTGGATTTGGTTTGGAGAGTTCTGTAAATGTCTATTAGGTTTGCTTGTTCCAGGTCTGAGTTCAAGTCCTGGATATCATTGTTAATTTTCTGTCTCATTGATCTGTCTTAATACTGACAGTGGGGTGTTAAAGTCTCCCACTATTATTTTATGGGAGTCTAAGTCTCTTTGAAAGTCATTAAGAACTTGCTTTATGTATCTGGGTGCTCCTGTATTGGGTCCGTATGTATTTAGGACTGTTAGCTCTTCTTGTTGCATTGCTCCTTTTACCATTATGTAATGTCCTTCTTTCTCTGTTTTGATCTTTGTTGCTTTAAAGTCTATTTTATCAGAGACGAGAATTGCAACTCCTGGTTTTTTTGCTCTCCATTTGCTTAGTAAATCTTCCTCCATCCCTTTATTTTGAGCCTTTATGTATCCTTGCATGTGAGATGGGTTTCCTGGATACAGCACACCGATGAGCTTTGGCTTTTTATCCAATTTGCCAGTCTGTGTCTTTTGATTGGGGCATTTAGCCCATTTACAGTTAGGGTTAATATTGTGTGTGAATTTGATCCTGCCATTTTGATGCTAGCTGGCTGTTTTGCCTGTTAATGCAGTTTCTTCATTATGTTGTTGCTCTTTACCATTTGGTATGTTTTTGG